ATCTGATTTTAAACATAGATGAAGATAAGTCTTTTCGGTTTTTAAAGTCAAAATTGAGTCTGATACATAATCAGATTCAAAAAAAAGCAAAGAAGAAAAACCAGCTTCGGAATTAAAAAAAAAAAGAAAGGTTGAAGAGCCAGATCACTTGGATTTTGACCCCGATACCAAAAGGTATTCAGCCCAAGAATGGGAAGACTACCTAAGAAGTTTTCAAAAAGAAAATTTTCAAAATTTTCAAAAAGAAAAAGAAGCTTCTAACAAAGAAGACTTTTGCCAGACTACTGAGGAGAAACCTCAAGCGTCTGCAGCATCTGAAAAACCAATTCCCACTGTAAACAACAGAGGGAAAGATCTAAACAAACATAACGTTTCAGTAACTGGAATGTATTTGAATATTAAAAATGTTCCCTTCTCTGAATACAACCAAGTTATCAGCGAATGGGCACAATCCATGACTATTGTTATAACAAACAATCCTGCATGGACCATTGATAGATTTTTCGACTACCTTGCGAGAACACTGCAAGGTGATTGTTTACAGTTCCTTCGAAAGTGGGAGGATTCGATAAAAGGAAAAAATGTCAAAAAATAACTCTTTGATAAGAAAAAAGAGGACCTTTGGAAAAAAGTAACAAAACTTCTAAGAGAGGAATTCTGTGGCATTGCTTTTGATCTGAATCTAAAAGAAGATTCGGATTATTCACTAACAAAATTAAAGTTTTGTAAAATCCAAAGTTTTGAACCTTTTGCCAAAGAATTTCAAAAATGGTACCAAATGTTAGATGAAATCAAATATAATTTTTGGAAAAAACAGTTTTTTAACAAACTACCTTTTCCATGGGATGAAATTTGCACCAGAAAATATGACATGTTACTGATAACACATCAGTAGATACTCTTGGAAAAAGGATCAGATTTGCATTCTCTATGATAAAAAACCATTGCATCGAAGTCAAAGCAGCCAAGCAAATCAAAAAAGGACTTAGCATAAACGATTGCACCAAACTTCTGAAGCAGTGCCACATAATCTTCTTTTATGTGGCCGAAAACTGGTTGGTTGACAGTTTTTCGACATCTTGCGGGAACACTGCAAGGTGATGTTTTACAGTTAAAAGAAATATTGGACTTTGAGATCAAATACAGTTGAGGCAACCAGTAACTTTGAAATTGTTTTACAGTTCAAAGAAATATTGCCACATCAAACACTACAAGGTGATGTTTTACAACAGTTACAAGATCGAAACTGTTGTTTTTCATACCAATGTTTTTTGTCTGAATAAAAATTCTCATACTAATCTAGATGTTTTTATCATGGATAGAAATTAAATAATTTGGTGTTATTTTAAACCAAATTTTACCAGTGACAAGATTAGATTGAATGCCTCCTATTATTGCTTTAATAGGGTCATTGAATCCTTTGCTTAAAATAATGACAAGGATTGGTGTGTCAATTCCATGTCTGAAAAGTGCAGTGATTTCAATCAAAATGATTCCTATGTGCAGGTATCTCAATCTTGGAAATTTTTTTATCATTTTGGAAATCTTGCTTTTATCAAAAATAGGAATTTCTACAGATCCATTTTCAGTTGCTCTTGCAGTGGTGTTTCCACTTAAGCGCTCAAAATGTCTGATATTCCAAAATTGGAATTTCGACCACTTGTAGATCTCTTCCCTTTTGAGATTTTTCAGTTTCTCAATTTTTTCTTCATCGATGAAGAATTCTTCTTGAATACATCACCGAGTTTTACAACTTGTTCAAAATCTCAGAATTGTTTTCCGAGTTTTCTTCTGAATGCATCATGAAAACATATTTGTCATGTTCTTCTGACTCGCTGTCAAATTCAGAGACTACTTCAAATTCAATTTCATCTTCAGAGATTTCTTCTCCAAAACAGATTTCAAAATTGTTTTCATCAAGCATTTTGATCATCTTTTTACCATTTTTCCCTTTTTGGGGACAATTAAGTGCTATGTGACCTTCGTTGCAGATTTAGCAACGACATGAATTCTTTAGTTTGTTGTTATTTTTTCTAACAACATACCTTTTCTTCTTATTAAATTTCTTACCCTTGTTCCACTTTTTCCAACGAAATCTTTTCTTTTTGAAAAATTTCTTTTTCTTTCCTTTTGCATCACACCCAAATTCTAAATTGTTTTTTAGAAGTTTGGTGCAGTCGTTTATGCAGTCCTTTTTTGACTTGCTTGGCTGCTTTGACTTCGATGCAATGGTTTTTTTATCATAGAGAACACAAATCTGATCTTGTTCCCAAGAGTATCCATTGATGTGTTATCAGTAACATATTTGTCATATTTTTCAATTCAAATTTCATCCCATGGAAAAGGTAGTTTGTTTAAAAATTGTTTTTTCTAAAAATCATATTTGATTTCATCTAACATTTGGTACTATTTTGAAATTCTTTGGCAAAGGGTTCAAAACTTTGGATTTTACAAAGCTTTAGTTTTGTTAGTGAATAATCTGAATCTTCTTTTAGATTCAGATCAAAAGCAGTGCCACAGAATTTCTCTCTTAGAAGTTTTGTTACTTCTTTCAAAAAGACTTCTTTTTTCTTATCAAAGAGTTCTTTTTTGACAATTTTTCCGTTTATCGAATCCTCCCACTTTCGAAGGAATTGTAAAACATCACCTTGCAGTGTTCCCGTAAGATAGTCAAAAAATCTATCAGTGGTACATGCAGAATTGTTTGTTATAACAATAGTCATGGACTGTGCCCATTCGCTGATAACTCGGTTGTATTCAGAGAAGGGAACATTTTTAATATCCAAATACGTTCCAGTTACTGAAACGTTATGTTTGTTTAGATCTTCCCGTCTGTTGTTTACAGTGGGAATTGGTTTTTCAGATGCTACAAATGTTTGAAGTTTCTCCTCAGTAGTCTGGCAAAAGTCTTCTTTGTTAGAAGCTTCTTTTTCTTTTTGAAAATTTTCAAAATTTTCTTTTTGAAAATTTCTTAGGTAGTTTTCCCATTCTTGGGCTGAATACTTTTTGGTATCAAGGTCAGAATCCAAGTGATCTGGCTCTTTAACCTTTCTTTTTCCTTTTAATTCTGAAGCTGATTTTTCATCTTTGTTTTCTTCTGAATCTGATTCTATATCAGACTCAATTTTGACTTTAAAAACCGAAAAAGACTCATCTTCATCTATGTTTAAAATGGGATGGTAATTGTTTTTTATCATGAGATTTTCATTTTCAGAAAACAATTCTTGCATTCTATTTTGAAGCTTTGATCTTTCTTTAAAATCAGTTTCTTTGATATACCGGGATTTACAGTATTCAATGATATCTTTTATGGCTTTGTAATCAATATACTCTTCTTCTAAAGTCAGGATTTCAGTCCCAAAGTAGAGTGACTTATGTGGTTCATAAGATGCTTTGAAAACATTGTTTTCATTTAAAGATTGTTCAAAATTTTTGATTAAATTTTTGACTCAAGGTTTAAGTCTATAGTATTTATAATTCCTAAACTATCTACTTTAGTTTCTACCTTAGAAATCTTTTCTGAAATTTTTTGTTGATTTTTTGAAATATTTTTAAACCAGTAGTTGCAAAAATCAAAAAGTCCATTCATACTCCTACTAAGATTTGAAATATCTTTTTCTTCGTTTTTGTCCAAATGATATAGATACTCAAAATTATTTTGATCTAATTTATTTTCATTAGCTAAGCAGTTTATTTCTCCCATGTTTTTCTTGGCACCTAAGGCCTCCTATGATAGAAAAGTTTCTTTTGAACCAAAACGGCCTAAACACACTCCAGGCTAAACGGCCTCACAGTTCGATAAACCACACACAGGAGTATCGGTTTTAGAAAAACCGAAAGAAATAAAATTGCCTTGCTGAAGAACTAATTTAAATCAAATTAAAACTGAACATGAACATCATAAAGATAAATAGAGGAAGCAGAAATTAAAATCTTACCAGAAGAGATGGCAAACTTCACTTTATATATTGAAACAGCAACTACAAGCTCTGAGCATAAGGTCTGAACATAATAAATGCCCTGATACCAGTTTCAAAAGTGCTTGACAGTCCAAGAAAAATTGGCATTGAGATGTTTGAGACCAATTGGTTTTCTGTCTAAAGATAGATCTTTTGGTTCAGAAAATCGTGGTGCAAGACTGTTTGGTACTAATTGACTCAAACTTTTGGTTAAAGTTCTTTGACCAGAAAAATAAATATTTTTCCCAGATGCTTGGAAAGTTACTAGTTGCAAATCTTGGTTGTAATTTTCTTCAAAAAACCTGTCAACCAACCAGTTTGTAAGAATTTCCAAATCCTTCCAGTTGATTAACCGGGGTTGGATTTCATTATCAAAATTTCGTGGTTCAAAAATTTCGACAAATCTATTATCAATATTTTTTGTTGAGGTCTTAGTTTCGCTTGTAAGTTCTAGATGGCTTTCCACTCAATTGCAAGATCGAAACTGTTGTTTTTCATACCAATGTTTTTGGTCTGAATCAAAATTCTCACACTATCCTGGATGTTTTTATCATGGATAGAAATGAAATAATTTGGTTTTATTTTAAACCAAATTTTACCAGTGACAAGATTAGATTGAATGCCTCCTATTATTCCTTTAATAGGGTCATTGAATCTTTTGTCTAAAACAACGACAAGGATTGGTGTGTCAATTCCCTGTATAACTACATTTAAACCATTTGATGGTTTAAATGGTCACTAACTCAAGCTTGTATTGTCTGCCCATGCTTTTAACATTGTAATGGAACTAAGAATTTCATGCATGTAAGGTTAAATTCATAAAACCTTGATATATCATTCCAATTGATCTGTTCGACATAACCTAAAGCCAACAAAAAAGTACGAAATGAAAGGAATAAAATGACAAACAATTCATTAAGTATTTGAGCAAGAATTATAATTATTTCAGAAAGTTTATGTAACACGCATGCTCAAAACGAAAGAATTATCGAGATATTCTAGTGCATTACATAAAATCTAAATGCTGGAATAAATTGCTACCTCCAACGAATTTGGAACAATTGGACTTGATTTTCCTTTTGGGTCTTCTTTTGAACCATCATCAGAAGTACTCATAGCTGCAGTTTTGAAATAGAAGTAAGAGTAGTTCAAATCTTCAAGTCATAGATTGCACTCGAAGAAACATGTTTTTATTGTAGTAGTTATCTCACTCAGCTACGGATGTTTATTAAGATTGGAAAGGTCTCGACTCTCGAAGCTTAAAACATATGCAGAGATAGTAAACACTAAATATTCACATGACATATCAAAATCATACAAAAAGTATCTAAAGCACTTTGATCACTTCAGCCACATGAGTTATACAAGCAAAGATGTGTCTCTTCCACCAAAAAAAGATTTTAAATGTCACAGTAACTTCCACTAATGCACCACGGGAAAGGTTCTTGTGCAAGATTGCCATTGACAAGTATAACAAGTATGCATGTCCTAATACCTTTATCATTGACAAGTGACTCATTTCAAATTGATGGTCCAAATAAATTAAATGCCTATCCACCTGATCAAGCAATGAAAAATGAAGATTGCTTATCAACCTGGTTGAGCATTGAAAACAATAGATTGGTATCGATATTTGGAAGAGAGATTTCTTTTTTTCTTTGGGCACACCACACATCAATAACAAGCAAGGGCATCCTATTGTCCCAAGACAAGTTTGACTAAAAGTGGATAACTTCTCTGCATTTGCTAACCAGCTGAGCTGTTCAAAGGTTCAAAGAAACAAACTTCTAGTAAAGTACTTGAATCCAGCTAAAATTGACATCATGTGAAATGTCTACTATCTCATTTTTCTTTTCTTTTTTTTTGCTTTTTTTTTTTTATGAATGAAGAACTGTCTACTATCTTTCACCATTATGACAGCAAACATGTCAGCGGGAGTTTTTTTTTTTTTTTTTTTGGGTGAGTCAGTGGAGAAACGGCCCCTACCCTTGATAGGAATTGAGCTTAGGACGTAGCCTTGCAAATTGTCAAGCGCTAACCAATTAAGCCCAAGAGTTATAAGTTGATTCGTGCAAATTCTAGAAAACCTCACCTTTACACAACAAATCCTTTGATGCATGAAAGGATACAACAAAATAAGTACTTTAGGCACATCAGATCATGATCTATTGGGTATGATGACTGTGATGGTTGTCCCGATGATGAAAGGCCTAATCCAAGATATGGGGCTTATCTTGGTAGTCTTTCAATCACTGAAGAAGTAGAAGGAAAATGGTTAGGGGTACTTCAGGTGAACTGGTGTAACATACAAGTGCATCCATCTTAAGGGAATTTAAGCAGTTCAGATTTCTGGTTGGAAAATTCAACCAGAAAACCTATATTCAAGCATGCTAGAAATCCTAGATTTGCATCATCCAACTCAAGGTGAAGCATTGGAACATGTATATCTTTGATGTATGGATGCATATTAGGTACAGAAGGCAATTTTGGTGCTTCTCTTTTCTCAATTATTTACTTGTCTGGGCACACTCAACATGTCAACAACAATTTTAAGCGTATCTAAGTCTTTTCTTCGTTATTTTGTAAAGAATGAAACTAAGTCCTTTTAATTATGTCTAGGTCACATTTCTTTTTTTCATGGGAGCTTGTTTGAAGGCACTGAAGGCAGGACACTGTCTCGTTTACAAGATCCTGTTGTTCTCTATTTATGTTTTACTTCATTGAAAGGTCTTGGTAAACTGTGTGGTTTGGCAGCCATAAAATTCAAAGACAGCTTCTAACATCACAAACTAGAAACAATTCTAAAGAAAAAACATTGCTTCTGAAAACATAATGTTTAGAATAACTAAGAGAGATGGACGCCCCAAAGTCAACTTCAAAAGCAATAACAGGGGAAGCAAAGATGCCAAGTGGCCACACGTCATTGTAGTATTCTTAAATTATTCACGAAAAGGCAATAGCAACAGTAACAGAAGATGGATTAATCAATAAAGCCCCCAGTAAACATAAAGATTACATTGCATCAACAGAATTTGCATATGTTAACAAATACATCTTTCATAATGTTTAATGGAGAAACAAGGACATCAAGATTGAACGTCAGACCTTCAGCTGATGGTCCAGAAAGAAGACTCACTGGCTTTACAAGATTCCGTGATTGCATCCTAAAACCTTCATAATGTAGTGACTGAGGCCCTGTGCATCTTCTCCTCATCATGCGCAAATCTGGTGGCCCGATGTATTTGCAGGTTGAGTGATTAGGTAAGTTTAAGGTTGACAGTTCCACCTTAGCAAGTGGCCCGAAAGAACCTAGTATTTACACAAGAGTGCCACAGAAACTTAAGAAAAAGGTTTAAAGTAATTTAGAGATTGCCATATGCACTCATCTTTTTGCTGCCTGTACAAAAATTCTTCCTATTTCCACCTAAAATGTCGAAGGAAATATCAAGCTCATAGACTAGCTAGAACCTCCACCCATATAAATGGGCACATGGAAAAAGCATGCACACAAATAGCAATGCCCCTGCTTTCTAATTTAATCCATGAAATCAGACACTCCAAAGGAACACTTATGGTGTCAAAACTTGTAAAAAAATATGCCTCTAAGAACCTACTAAAACCAAACAAACAACAAAACTGTAGTAAAAAATTACAAGTAGCAGTTTATCAAAAAATAAATAAATTACAAGTAGCCACAGCAAGGAAACATCCACAATCCAAGCATGCAAGCGATCTTAGACATGATTGTACATCCCTGAGTGATAGATAAACTTACCCTAATATAAGACATAAATATAATGTCATAACCTTTATATCAGGTCCTACTCATCTGTAGGCAGTAAGACTGCACATAAATATGGACATACATGACAACCTAGCTATCTCAGGAATCGGTTCTGTAACAAAGGGAATTTTTAAATAACTCCTAATCATCTCCACAGAGCATAATTATCTAACAACTCATGTATCTAATGTAATGGATGGACCGATGGATGATGAAGGTAGATATAATGTTGGAAGCAAATCTAATGACACATTCAAATTACCTGAGCAACCTTATTGTTAGTGTTCCTGGCTATTTCAGTTAGGATATGTACATCAGAATTCTCATTGTAAGATGTCATAAAGTGGAGTGGTTATTATTCTATCCCCCAGCATCTGTCTTCACCATGTGTTTTGCAATTTCTTGCCCTCTAGGTTCTTTTTCTGCCTCTTGGTACCAATGAACTTCTTTATGAAGTCTATGAGTTACTCAAATATGTCGATTTGCAGTTTTCCAATAGTCACGATTCCTTTTCATGAGTAATCACACATTCATTGAACAAGAAAAGTATACATCAAACTGCATCCAAAGATATAACAAAACATATTCATAATCAATATGCTGATTCTAGATCTAAATATACACATACGCTGTGTGGAGATACACTTAATATAAGAGGACATATGTATGTCTAACCCAAGTTTTAGAAGAAACCATTTCAGACACAAAGTGTCCAAGTCAAACACAGACATGCATATATATGTAATCCCAGTAAGATAGCTCCAATTGGTTATCTCCTTAACCCATTTTTCTATTAGAAATCCCAAAATATCAACCCCTATTCTAGCACCTTTATGCTTGCACAGAAATGACAGTTCATAGCCCAAATCTAAGGACGAACTCAGTAGTAAAAACTATTCACATATTTTTTTATTTGTTACACTGTCACTGTATTAAACTATTTTTACCACGCACTGTGGGTCCATCTTCAAGGGATGTTGCAACCCAATCAAAAACAAAACATGGCCAGGTAAGTTATTATTTTCTTAATTATTGATCTTCTGTTTGCATTTTGAGGTACACATAAAAATTTCTGGTTCAGTATATGTACAACATAAAGGTGTTAATAATTCAATGTCCAATCTTCTCAATTTTATGCATAGCGAGTGCATCCAACTGCACAATTTTTGCAGATTTGAGCATGCCCAAATATTGATCTTATCTCTCAAATATGCATCAATAATGTCATGGTAAAGGATTTTAGTTTAGTCTCTTCATGTTATTTCTGAAGTTTCACATGCCAAAAGAAATACATTCCAGCCAAAGAAGTTGAAGGATCTAAACTTTGTTAAATATAATCAATAGAATCAATACATTAGAGAGCATCTTATATAATGTAACAATATTGACCCAGATAACTCAACAGATGAATATAGATGCAAGAAATGAATCTTTCAAGGAAATCATGATACATAACATCGGTATTAACAGCAGTGGAAACTCAAAACATGAGGTTTACTTTGAGGAGACTGAAAAGAATGAAAGATACTCAAAACATGAGGCTACCTTAGAGGAGACTGACAAGGACAAAATATAAAAAGGCAGGTGATGATTCATGCAAAGACCTAGATCAGGGGAGAGTAAATGATAAAAGGATTAAAATTTGCCAAACTGTTTTAGACGATTGATCATTTCTACAATGGCATTTAGTTCTACAATTTTTCATTAATCTAAGAGATGTTGCATGTGTGTGGAAAACATGATTGTGTACATTTTGTTTTATTTTTTCAAATGTGCTTATTATATGGTCTAAGAGGGGTGAGGACCTTAAACTTTCCCTTAACCAATCCCAAGCCCAGATAAAAGGGGTAGGTTGTGTTAGATAAGCAGCCAATATAAAACTTTACGAAAACTTCTCAGAAATCCATAATATAGACGGATAGGGAGTTATGTAGCCGAACCCAATTAATTAGGAAAAGGCTTTGATAATGATGATGAAATATACTAATTATATGCACCTTGGTTGTTATTTCGTCAAGGTGTATTTTTGCTTTTTCTCGAATTGAATAGTATAGTGCATGATATGAAGCATCTTCATGGTGTGGTGTTTGTGCCATGTTAGTGCAATTAATAAAATCTCGCATACCTAGCCTGTGGCAACAAAATCGAAACTACTTATCATGCATACGTCAGCCAATGACACTTTGTCATTGATGTGAAACATCTTTATAAATTTCACATGGAGCCAAAAACAAAAGTTGTGTGCAATGTTCAAAAAGCGCTAAGCGGATCCAAGGCGGCTTGGGGGGTCCAGGCCGCCCAGCGCCTAGGCGGGCGCCCAAAACCTGGGCAGCCCAGTTGAATCCAAATAAGGATTCTGCAATGCAGTTATTTCAGTATCAGTTATATGTATTGCAGTACATAATTCAAATTATACTACATATTAGCATTTAGCACACACTCCATAAACATAATCATAATCCATAAGTCGGTTCATACTCCATATCCAATTAAAACTTAAAATTTACAACCAACCAAATTATCAAACCAAGTTATCAAATAGTATCACACCAGTACTGCAGTACACCACCATGAGGAAGAAAACAAAATTGAATTATGAAACTATGAAAGTAATATTTGAAGACTCAAAAGAATCTTCAATAGTTCAATACACAATACTTCAATCAAAGTTCAAACTTCAAAGTTTAATAATTATTCAACAATCAACATTCATCATTCATTCATCATCAGAAAATCTTGGGTCAGCGACATTGGCATCATATTCATTGGAGTCGATGGAGTTATCACCCTCCTCGACATATTGGTCGTCCCCGTCCTCCTCTGTCTCTTCTGAATCAGCTTCTTCTTCCTCCTCTTCCTCTATCCTTGTTCTCTATGCAAAAGATCTAGTGGCCGTAGGAGGGTCAGCTGATGTCCCTGAAGCATCTATGACCATGTCCCATGTCAATCATTCATGCCCCTCGACCTCATCATCATCAACTAACCACTTCATAGCATGGTCCATATTTTTTGATCTGATGGGGTCTCTCTTATCTCTCTTAGCAAACTTGTCCTTCAAGAATCGATTATACTTGACATAGACTAGGTCATTGAGCTTCTTTGATTCAAGCATGTTCTTTTTCTTTGTATGAATCTAACAAAATCAAATGAAACTAATTAAAATCGAATATCTATGGTTCATATATTATTTATAAAATTATACAAATTACCCTTACAGCCTTACCCCTTCAAAAGTACTCCAATTGCGCTCACAACAGAATGCAGAAGTGGTTAGGTTTAAGATTCGAATGGCCAACTTTTGCAAATTTGGAGAACTAAACCCATGTTGGCTCCACCAATGGGCTGTAAAGATATAAAATAAAATCATAAATAGATAATAGAATTACCTGATTACTTGAACTTGATGAACTTAAGAGTATTATTAATACCTGGATCAATTTTGGCCCTTTGCCTCATCACCATTGGACTTCCAAAAGACTTTAATGAGCACTTGTAATTTATCATCTCATCAGCGCATATAATATCCTGCATATCAAGATCAGGGACTAGCACCTCTACACACTCATTAAATCCATTCATAATTGTGTCATTTGTTTGTATATCCTTGTCAATATAAAAAAAAATTGGGTTCAACTAATAACCAGCTGCATGCAATGGCCGATATAGCTGCCTATTCCACTTCTCATCAATAATCTCCCAAACAGGCTTGTAGCAGGTTTCTTCATCATTGAAATTTTGGGCTATCTCTCTTTTGCATTTCTCCATAGAATCATATATGTAGCCCATAGAAGGTTTGTTACTATCAACCATTCGAAGGACTTTGACAAGAGGAAAAAATACTTTAAGAGCGTCCTTCACCCCTCTCCAAAAATCTTTAGAAAGTATAATATCTCTCACCTTCGTCCCAACCTGATCCTTAGACCACTTGCATGCTCTCCACTCATCTGAGATTAACATTTGCCTCAACTGCACTCTCCTCGAATGTATGATATCTAGGCATAAGAACTAGGTCGCAAATCTCGTGACCCCAGGACTCACAATCTCTTTCTTCTTTGTAAAGGTACGCATCATGCTGAGGGTGAGATGGTGGCTATAAATGAAATTTGTAACTAACTTGGCCTTCTTCACTGCGCTTGATATCTCGATGAAAATGCCAAGAGCCTCAAGCATGAGGTCTATACAATGTGCTGCACATGGTGCCCAAAAGATTCTAAGATAAGCTATGCGCAACAAATTAAATACAGCAACATTAGGAGTAGCATTGTTTGTGACAACCTGTACAACAAGATGCTCCCCAACCTCCTTGATTCCCTTCTCTATCACTTGAAATATGTAATGCGCATCATGCATATGATCAGAGGCATCAATAGACCTCGAAAAAGACAATCCCTGCAGGACAATTCACAAGCAAATTCATCTGACTTCTTCTCTTCCTATCACTCCAAGCATCAGTCATAATAGAAATTCTATGCTGAGCCCATGCATCCTTCTTAAGTTCTACAGCTTCCTTCGTGGCACTCAATGCCTTTTTTTAAAAAATATCTGAAAACTCATATGGGGTTGGGGGTTTCATCCCAGGGCCAAATTGGCCAACTGCCTCTATTGCAGCATAGAAGCTGCTTAAGCAAGCGATATTGAAAGGAATGCCCGCCTCATAAAACCATGTAGCAAGAAAATACGCAGATCTATCTCTCTCTTCCTTCTTGATTATATTTTCAATGGTGGTTTACTTTTTTGTTTTATCTCCTGTAACCTCAAGGTCAAGCCAAAGTAAAAAACTATCTATAAGGCCTCTAACTCGAGGCTTCTTAGTCTCAGAACCATAAGCAATTACAACTCCTTTCCCCTTTCCCTTAATAATGGATTGCTCAACCTCTTGACATTCATCCATTTCCTCATCACTATCATCATCATCAAAATTGACCCGTACCCCAGACCTAATCTCTACTATAGAGGCAAATCTCTCATCTTTTTTCCTTTTCACCATGTTCAAAAATTGTTTATTTCCTCTTTAACAGCATCAGAAGTCTTTTTACATGGGGAAACATCCCCTCTGAAACTGGCAAGATGTTTCTTGAACCGGCTTATGCCCCTTTTTGTATCCTTTTCATAAAACTTGCATCTTATGCAATTTTTATCATTATGATCTGCGTTGGAGCCATATTTCCAACCGGGATCACCGCTCTTATTAGATCCCGAAGAAGACATCTCAAAAAAATGCAACTTACTAAAGCAATAAAAAGAATCACTTACTTTGAGTTTGATTGCTCAATCTTCAAACTTCCACCTCAAAGATGCTTCTCAATCGTCAAAATCTTCTAAAAAAACAGCTAGTAACTTGGCAAAAACATAAAAAAGTAAATATAATATCAATGAGTGCTGTTTTGATTAATTTTTGTTAACTTTGAGAAACCCTTCGATCCTAAAGAATTAACCAAAAAGTAGATTTTTGGGGGCCCTCTCTCTAAAATTGGTTCCAACAAGTTTTAGGGTTCAAATGAATCTAAAACCCTAATTTTTTGCCCTTAAAAACAAAAAAGAATGACCAAAATTGCTCCTACTAAAATCAATTTCTGCCCCTGGGCGAGGCATAGGCCCTGGGCGCCCGACTAAGTGGGTTCCATACCGCCTAGGCGGCCACCCAGGGCTCGACCACCCAGATTGGCCGCCTAGGCCTGAGCGATGCGCCCTGGCCTTTCGGATCGCCTAGGGGCGGAAATTGGTTATGTTTATGTTGCAAAAGGCTTTTTGAATCATTGGTTGTGTGCTTGTTGCCTTTTGCAACATAAACCACCAATGACACTTTTCGAGTGAAGCAACAAAGCATAAAGGGTTGCATTTTGTATTTTGATTACATAGCCTAGGGTAGATAAATAGGTCCTACCTTGACCCTTATTTCATGATAGAACAGCGTGAGAATGATCTTTTTTGATAAAGGACGACCTTAGAATGATCAATGGAGTAGATACCAAAGGCTTCCATTATCATGGAACATAACACTAAGATTGATGATTGTATGATTCCCACATGAATCTTCACTTAATGCTTTCATGTCAAGGTTGCGTGCCAGACTTTTGAAATTTTCATAACTACGAGACTAAAAGTTTGCACAGCAAACTAAGACATGAATAAAGACATCCAATGCTTCAATAAAATTTTGCTTATACACTATTAATTATGAATGACTATCAAATAAATAGCAAAATTTATGTATTATCTGGCCCCATCACCTAGTGTAGCATGTACACTATTTTGCAAAATTGAAACCACTGCATTTCAACAGAAAATGCCAAAAAAGTGATATGTTGAGTAGGCAATTTAGATTTTTGAGGCATGCTTTATATATCTTTCAAATATTCAACCCAAAAAGAGAATTTCTCAAAGGACTTAACAAGTCCAACAGCTATGCACAAGCCACATGGTTGTTACACCCCACCATATATAGGACCCGAATGAAATTCATATTCAGGGAAACAAACATAAACACCATTACAGGTCGAGTTATTTCTGACAAGTGTGTTATACTTATCCTCCCTAAATCCATTGGACAATATGTAGTCCAATCCAATCCAATTAGGATTCCTGGATCCTGCATCCTTCTATAAATCCTATCATGGTCAAACCTCTAGAATATCAAAAATTCCTCCATGCTTTTAACAAACAGGAAACCTAATTCAACTTGGAACATTATGATTACCGAATACATAACAGCAAGCAAGAAAAAAGGACAGCCCCATTCACTAAAACATTCGCAACACAATTAGATTCCTAAAACCAAGAATACCCCCATCCTCGTTCGAAGATTTTCAAAAGAACAAGCCTGAAAATGCTGGTAAATAAGCAACTGCATAGGTTGAACTTTATTTCAAAGCTCACATGAACCCTATTACTTTGGCAAATAATTATAGTAGTAAAATCATGTGTTTTTGTCAATATCATCTTGGTAACTTTGAGACATTTTTGGCCGTCCATCTCAAAGAAAAAATAACTTTACTCATTACTTTTAGCCGATTACATTAGATAGTAGAAACGACATCAAGGAAACTGCCTGTTTCTTCCTTAGTTGATTGTCTGAAATTGGGAGAACCGCTAAGGGCAGAAACAGAGGATGGAGAGCTATAACATGTGCTAGATCTTTCGTCACCTGAATCCCAAGAAGAACCCGATTAACAGCTTATTACCATACTGTTTTCAATCCCAACAGAGCTCAATTTAAGAAGAGCCCATAACTACCATGAATTTACTTCCCAAAATCCCAATCCAAGACAAACCCATTAACGGCTTAAAAACTATTGGGATTCAATCACTCGGAGCTCAATCCAAGAGTAAGCCACTATTACAAATGGTGTGTAAAAGTAGAGATTCAGTCATCAAAATCCAAATGCAAGAAGATACCATTAACAATTTAAAGAACATTCACGAACCCAATTTCTGGTACCCAAATTCAATAAAATATGAACCCATTACCAGCTAAAGGACCATGGAATAACCACATTTCTAAGGAGACCTACAAATAATTTTTCTGGTTACCCAAGATAGCTTGCCCATAGACAAGAGCTAAAGACGAATGAGGGACCCACATGGTTGCATGCAAAAGATTTAGCGAGAGAGAGAGAGATTGAAAATGCTTTTTGGGACAAATGGAGAGAGAGAGAGAGAGAAGGAAAGAGAAGAAGAGAGAGAGAGAGAGAGTACTTACGTAGAGACGAGAGACGCGACTAGTTGTAGTTGGTCGTGGTAGTTGTTAGTAGTAGGAAGTAAGTAGGTAACGGTAACGGAACGAAAAGGGAAGGAAGGAAGG